GCCAGAAGCAATCGTACTCCGTCATCCCACTCCGAAAACTATGAGGCGTTTAATTAACTCCGGGAAGGCCGGGAAAGAGAGGCCATAGAATTCACATGCAAATGCTCTGTGACACGATTGCAGAACAATCATTTCTTTTTTCAACTGAAACTCGGCTACCAAAACGACCACCGACTTCTGACACTTCGTGCCAACTAAATTTCACACGGAAATATCGTCATTTTAACGTAAAAGCACAATTTACTCCAAAAAACAAAGAGGATCTTTTTCTCTTAAATGAGTTGTTTTTTTTTTAATAGCGCTGTTTTCAGAAAAATAGAATATTCTAATCAAGCAGATGACAAGCAAAAAGCATACATTATAGCTGATTACTTCTGTTACGCATGAAAGAATATTCGATTGAAGATTCATGTCAATTTAATATCGCAGAAATAACGATTAAGACGGGACCGATTGAGGAATGTAAAGTAATTTTCAATTATCACATTCTGATGATGAAACAAGAATAACAAACATCCGCAACTATCGGTTGATAACATAATTTTACTTTTATATGGCTTGTGGTGTAATCGGATGCGCGAATGAGTCACCATGTCGCAAAGGATGATAAAACGCGATCGCGCAATTGCGAGTAGCAAAGTAGTCACGTCACGCATAGGTCAGCCAGAAAGTAAAGAATGCTGTAATCGACAGACGATACCTGTGAAAGTTGACCGATGTAAACAAAAAGAAACTTAAAATAAAATATTGCACGTTCTTGCAATATAAAGTCGTTACTATTTTTTATTTTTCAATAAAAAAAAATTCGAATGTTTTCATATCTTTAAAATTTTATAATATTAATTTTGAAATGCAAATTTGATGTAATAACTGATTGTAGAATAAAAAATTTTTTTAAAGTTTGTCTATGTTGCGATATGAATAATAAAGGTCAAGGTTATCTACAACGCAATGATTTTTATTGCTCACTTATTTTATTGCTAATTTATTCTATAAATTGTCGTTTTATTATTTATTTTATTAGTTCGAAAATTTCGTGTTATAATATGTATATAATATAATTGTATGTGAGAAATAATCATATTATAAAACTAATGGTTTCCATAATGAAGGTGCGTTACTATATTACAGAGATGTATGGATTTACTTTCAAAAGTCAGTTTTAATAATAAAAATGATGTTGAAAAATATCTTGAATTTTACATAGTCAAATATAATTTTCTAAGTATTATCGTTCATTGTTACGTGCAAAGTATAAAAAATTTGTAGCCGGAAATTAAAGATGATATACCTCTACGTCGTTTAATTTACATTCTCGCCGTGCAACGCGATGAAATCTTAAATTATTATACATAGGGTGTTCAACATTTTTCCAATAAGTGGCATTTATAGGCGAAAGAAGTGGTGCTCCTCCACTCTGAACTCGATCGATGGGATTCTGCTCACGCGTTTATGATGCGAAACGTAAGAAGGCGATTAATCGCGAGTAAGAGTCGTCGGAATCAGAGGAGAGAGAAATAAAATACCGCAGCGTAAGGAAGAAAAAGGAGACGAGAAAACGAGACGATCAGCAAGCTGATCGCCAGCTTTAACAGTTTAAGTTACTTCGCGAAAGGCGACCGTCGTTGTTGGAGATAAGATTGCAACGGGATGACGAGAAATTGTTTCCATCCGTTATTTTCATCTTCTGCGTGCGATATATAGACACAGGGCTTGCACGATTACCTTGGACGGCGCTTGCAGTCGAAAGACAGGATAGACGCGGAGAGGGAAAAAATTACGAAATCCTACCTGATTCAATGGCTGAATCCATTGAGCGGCCGGTTTGATATAGCCGAAGGATATCTCTGTGTTCCATTGAAAGGAAGCCCGGATTTGAAGGAAGAAGACGAAGGATACGTTCGCGAAGGAGCGGATCTTTGAGAGGAAACGGAAGGAAATCCCGAGAGCCAGCAGGGAGAGAAGGATGGACGAAAGTAGGAGTGAGAGAAGAGGGCTTACCCTGACAATACATCCGCTCTTCGGGGGTAACGCGAGGGAGTGCTGACTGACAGACAGCTCCTGTCTACTAGATATCCGAGCAAAATCTACACCACCCTCCTACACGCTGTATATTATAGTATCAGCCGTCCTGTTGGAAGATCTACCACTTCTTCTGTATATCACAGAAAGGGAAGCACGGAACTCTTAGAAACGTTCCAATAATGTGCATTATAAGATTTCCTTTTGTGATCGGCCGTAATCAAAGAGTATCCTGTTTGATCAGAAACATTTCAAGTCCTTTTAGATATGTACCGTTATTCGGGGTCAGAACGTTCGATAAGTACCGCAGAGACCCAAGGCAAGTATTTCAACCGTGGCAGACGTTGCCAGTCTGATGGCAACTATCGTTGACAAGCGATTGTTCATTTTCTTAAAACAAGAACGCTCATTTCTACTAACTTAATAAAAGCATCACTTCGATGCACTTTTTACGATGCTATATGGGTACGAAAAACCTACCGCCGTAAAATCTTTTCTCCAAGAGGAATCCCCCCTCCCCTCCTTCCGAGTTACGCTTCGTCGAACGATGGGGCGGCCGCAAACAGGAGCGATTTATACCAAACCCTCTAGTTACGATGACTCGCGGCGATCGTAATGGGACACCCGGTAGAATGGACCGTAGGCAGCGGACAGCGCGTTTTGCGGTGACAGAGCGTGTCTGATGGAGGGTTGTCACGGTGCGGGAGCACCCCTCAGACTTCGATATTAAAGCCCTCCTCTAATATAACAGCAAAAGCTCCACTCTCTACCGTCGATATGCTCGCCTCAAACCTTTTTCCCTTCCTAGAGGTAGCGATATCGCGTTTGTGTGTCGTTATATTCATACGTGTAAGTCCGATAAAAGGGGGAAAAGGAAAAACTGAAGGGTAGCCCCGGTCGAAACGTAGACTCGCGCGGGCACTGAGATTTCGGGCAAACATCGACTTTCAAGCGAAAAAACGAAACCTATTTAAGAGAATATACCTCTACCTTCTAATTTGTGTCTTCTTGACGAGAGAAGATGAAAAAGAGCTAAGCGTTGGATTAACTCGAGAGTAAGCATATATGTTGCAAAATACAAAAGAAAGGAGTACTAAATTTTCCTCAATTTTAAAATATGAGAAAGCGGGAGAAGAGGAAAATGTGTATAATCGTTAGCTTCTAAGAAAATATTTTATCTTTCCGAATTATCTTTATCGAATATTTTATTCAATTTTAAAACACGAAAAGGCAGAAGAGAAGAAAATGTATAGGACATATCGTTATCTATAACAGAAAATTAATCGAAAATATCTTATCGAAGATTATTATAATATCCAGAAAAAAAAATAATTTCGAACTATCTAAAAATTTAACTAGATACAAATCTTAAAATAATTTTGTCGGATCATGAAAATAATTATGTAAGAATCTCAAGCAATGCTGCAAAAAATTTTGACTGTCCTACATAATTATTTTGATGATTCAATAAAATTATTTTCAGACTCCTGTGTGTCTAGCTAAATTTTTAGACGTTACAGTAAAACTATTCTTTTCGTAACTTATTGTAAGGTTTTGTAAGTTATGGAAAAAACAAGTCACCTATCATGAAATTGTTTGAAGTTGAATATCAAATTCATGAATTTTGTTTCAAACTATAAATACCAAAAAGAAATTTCAATATACTTTTGTCAACGTGATATCGTCAACGCTGCATATTTACTCACAATCACACGCGCGAAAAAGATACCAGAAAGATAAAGAGACGCCGGAATCGCACGCGCGTTTAGACAGGCGTGCACCCGAATAGAGAAGCCGGAGAAAGTCGAGAAAAAAAAAAGAGAAGGGCTTACCCACCCACACGCACGTGCACGCGTACGGGGCGTAGTACCCCTAGACTCGGCTTTCGTATCCATCTCATACGCACCATTGACCTCGAATGCGACGTCCGATAGAGCTTCCCTGAACCTCCTCAAAAATCAAGTTATCTCTATTCTCCGCGCATCATGGCGTTTGGAATAAAATGCAGCGCTTCGCGCGATATACCGAAGAGTCAAACAGGGAATGCCTTGCGTCTCGTACGCGCATATTCTTTGAGAAACACTTGAAATCTACCGCACAATGGGTATTTATACTATCAAGAATGTATATACAGCATCTCGTGTAATCATGCAAATTTATGAATTGAATGTGCAAATTATTGGCAAAATTCACATTGTTTGGATATCAAAGGAGCAATGCTAACCCAATTATTTGAGTATAACATTTTGTTATTTTTAACTTCCACATGTATCAAAACGTAAATCAATCCATTTCGGTGCTTAATTTCAAAGTAAACAATATCCATATATATACATTATTGTTAGTAAGTATTATAATATATATAATAAACTAATTTTTGTTTTTTAAACAATATGTTCAGGCAAATAAAAGTATATAAATACAGTAATTGGAGAGTATAATTTTTTTTACCTTAAATTTAATATACTTTCTTTAATTAATTTGTTCGATTTTTGTTTAGTAAAATGAACGACGATCCTTACTGTATTGGAATATTCTTTTAAATTTTTATCATATTTAAAGATTTACTCCAAACACAGGTAATAATCGATAACTGAGCTTTCGTTCAATTATTGTGATTTTTAAACTTTAGTCATTGATCGCGTTCAACGGAACGTTTATTTTTCAATTGTTGGAGAGAGAAACTTTTTCGCGTTCATTACATTATTTTTAGATCTAAAGAAACAGTCTATTTCAACGAAGAAAATTTCCAACAGTTGCAAAATAAACGTTCTGCTGTACGTGGTCATTAAACAAGATATTTAAAACGCTGGAAAAGGTGTTTAATTATCCATAATATTCCGATATGAGACATTTCGTTAGTAATTCAAATTACGGAAATGAAAAGAGTTTAAATCTCGGATTTTGTTTCAATGAAATAATATTGTATGCAATTAGCATACGCAAAATATCAAGCTCAATCGCTACAGTTTACTCACTGTAAATCTTCTGCACCAAACACTCAGCCATCTAATGTCTCGTATGCGCTTTCCTCCGGGTAGCCTCAGGATAACGTCTGTGTAGTTGTATGCCTCCAATACTCGTGGATCGCTGTTGAAGAGGAAAGAAAGAAATGAAAGTAACATACCTAAAGGTAGTAATAAAAAGGTTTGAACGCAACTGACGTAGAATGTAATTGAAGCAATTATTTCGAAAACCGCAAGTTCGTGAATCGGAACTGCTCGGGCAACAATAAAAACTACGGTGCTTCTGTTTCTCAAGTTCAGCCTTTTCTGACATTTACATATCTATATCACACTGTAATTAGATGAACTTGAATTGTCTCGCATTTTGTTCACATTTTTTAGCGTATTCCATGAATGATTTAAACTTGCGAGAGCTATATAGACTTATCTCATTTGTCACAAATGACAGATTCGATTGATTTTAGCCTGTTGGTGCCGCTGGCGAATTTGCGTGTCGTGCGAACGATCAAGCGAGCAGGGGAAATGGACGTAGGCGAATTGTGCATGCGGTCAGGGATGTAGAAGGCCGAAAAGGGCACGGGTAAGAGAGGTGGCGAGAGTGATGCGGGGCGAACGCGCGGCAATCCGTAACCAAGGGATGAAATGAAATTCAAAGAGCCCGTTGTGCGCGTGGCCATATATGGAAAGGGGCGGCGGGGGAGACGGAAAGGTGAGGAGGGTGAAAAACAGAAGGAAGGCCGAACGAGCGAGTCGTGCGAGAGAGAGTGCAGTTAATAAAACGGGAATTATACGCCAATCTCGTTCGGATTTCATCTGCGCGAGCACTTTATTACGTTTCTACTCGGCTGCTTCCTACCCACTTTAGTACACGTTCAAAAAATCGTATACAACGAGTATCGTTTTGATATATACGAAACGCCATGTACCAAACACTGATAACCTCACCTTTCCGCATTAACCGCAACAGTCGGATTATCAATCTCACGTAAAATTGCTCGCTTATCATTATATGGCACGAGCAATTTTATTGCTTACGTTAAATGGTCTAATTAATTTCAATTAATTGTGTTATTTTCTTCTACAAAATAACTGACCGTATATTCTATTTATATTGTTATCAATCTCTATATGACCATCAATTAATTCTTTTTAAAAAAGTACATGTTTTTCTCACGTATAATATTGTATAAATAGTTATAAATATAAAAATAATCTCAAGATAAAAAAATTGCTTAATTAATTTACTTTAATTAAGTGCTACTGTCTTCTCTATAAATAACTCTTCTATATTTTGTATTACTATAAATCGTTATATCATTAAAAAAGAAATATACGTTTTCTCTCACAATATAATACTACAATATAATGTCATGAATGTAGGAATAAAATATCAGTTACCTTCCCTTATCAGTCTCGGGATAAGGTACAATGTAACCGTCAGGGTTGGGTTGACTGGTGTTACCAACCCAGAAGTAAGCATCTGGGCCGGTGCCGTCGTAGCAAAATCCTTTTATGAATATCGTTGCATCATCAACGGCATACACTTTACCTTTGATGCCGTGTGCGTATTCTTGTAGGGTTCCGATTAATTTACCATAATAATTAGGTCCGTTCCTGGCGTAACCTAAAAATAGAAATAATTATAAAAATTTTACTAATTATCAAAAAGTTTCCTTGGCACGATTAAAAACACATACATATATATCATCTACTGATTATTTTATCTTTACAAAATGATATCTACTTTTTATACCATCTATGATTCAGAATCTTTTTCGTCGTTTATAGATGTCACATACAAAATTAAATATATAAACATATAGCCTAATGTTTTAGCACTACTAATTAAAAATAAAAAAAAATAAAATTGATATACTGTTAATGTCATTTATTAAGTAAGGATTTGAACAACTTCACGAATAAAATAATTATTAATAATTCGCGCAAAGAAAACAAATTTTGTGATTATTTTCTATCTTGTTACTTTTCTCACTCACACGGATATAGCCTGCTTTTCAACGTTGTGATCGTTCGACTTAACTAAAGCTCCTTGAAAGATAGCTAAAGCGATTTGTGAATTTTGTCCAAACGAGGAGCAAGTCGGGGATACCGAAGAGGAAGTACGCTTCACCCTTGTGATGTAGGTTGGACGCATCGCCGCCCCGATACAAAACCGATGCGATGCCGCCTCGACAGCGCAAAGGGAAGCCGGCGTGGCGCGGTTCCGCGATTTGCATGAATTTCATTTCATTTGCTCGACAGGTCCGTAAAGCCGGGTGTTGCAAATATATATACAGATATATCGGAAGATCCACCCGTGGCAGTAAAGATCAGAGGGCGTTTACGACTGTGGTCTGGAGAGGCCTGGGTTGATGATCGCACCGCGCGCGTCTGGGAAAAGTTTAAAAGCCGAAACGTGGGGAGGAGGCTCTCGGAAACTTAGCCAAATACGTCCGAAGGGTAATAGAGATAGAGATTGGGACGCGAAAAGATGGAATGAAATTAACGGATTAGAGCTTAGGCCTTAATCCTTGGGAAATCGACCGTAGAACACGCGCGGACTCAAAAACCGCTTCTCATTATTGGTCTTCTCAATTTGCTATATCGAATATGAAAAGTGCTCAGTTAAATAACTACGAGAATACAGAATGCGAAATTCACAAATGTGGAAAAAATATATTCCGTTTGTTACAACGAAATCTCCTAAAAATGTATTATCATTTATCGAATTGACTAAAATATTTACGAGGTGTATTACATAATGTCTTGGAAAGAGTTCCAGAACAAATATAATAAGATATATGAATATCTGAAAATATATATCTTGAATATTTTTGCATCTTTTCCCTTTCTTGAAATAAATACATAGCTTCATAAAACATGCACAAAAAATAATACTAATAGCTGTAAATCCTACATCATACTTTAACCCTTTAAGGTTGATTTTGTTGAGAAATTGGATATAATTTCTAGCAAGGATATAGTGTAACGCAGTGAATTATATTCCATCCTTGTTTAATATTGATAAATAACAAGAATGGAAAAACCTTTTTTCTTGTATCTAAGTTTTCTGTGATAATACTTTTAAGATATTCAAGGTATTTTCTTCAGAGGTGTCAAAGGGTTTGCGGATTATCGCCGCGTCGTAATCCATTGCTAAAGCCTGTTCTAAGAAACTAACCGATCATAGTTGATTATTTTTTCATATTTGATCGTGACTGGCTAATTTCTTATGGTTTACGACTTATGGTGTTTACGACTTGCAATTTTATTGTAGAACAAGCATAATACTAACGTTTCGTGAATCTTACCGTTTACTTCATTAGAGCGAGAAGTGCACTGATACTAGATGCAGTGTATCTCAAACATTGAACATTATCAGTGCGTTCTTCGCTCTGATAAAGTCGCAATGGATCACAATACAGCGATAATCCGCAAAAATTCTTTAAAACCTAGTTAAGACATTTTTAAATGTTCATCAAAAAATTGCTGAATTAAAAAAATTACAACATATAAATTTGAAATGGCGGATCCAATAAGGCGAATCCAAAAAAATAAAATATTATCAATTGTATTAGAATTATAACAAAATCGTTTGTTATGAGGACTTTTGGGTTATTGATAAAAATAATATCGAAACATACCTAAATATTCAAATATAATATATAAAAATATATAAGTGCAGGATCTAATAAAGCGAAATAAAATGTCAAACTGTAACGAATTTTTTTATGTTAGAGGATTTTATTGAAAAAAATCCATTCAAAAGAAAAATACAATCAGATATAAAATGCTATATAAAAATGAGAAAATTTGTGATAATAATTAGTTCTACATAAAATATATGTATTACTAAATAATGTCATAAATGTTTTATTAATAAAATTGGACATTTATTGGTAACAAGACGTATATTGTTATGTACCAATATTATGTATAAAAACTGTATATAGAAAGATTAAAAAATATCTTAATTCGCATTTATAAGAATATCAATAGCCTCCATCAATAATTATTTTTCTTATCATTAAAATATTTTTTATGATACATCTTTTAATTAAAATGTAAACTATTTCCTTTAAAACAGGCTTTAATTAAACACTACTGAATAGTTAATATTTATCAATATGATTTTTTTTTAAAGACTCTAATACATACATGTATCGCCAGACCTTAAAGAGTTAAAAACTGATAGTAAAAGAACTAACGCGCGGTCAAGTATTCTATATATAAAACTCATTTCTTTATTTTTATGCACGCAATGTCTTTAACATATGACAATAAGATAGCAAATAAAATAAATCGTTACACTGTTTCATATTTTCATTTAAAGAGGGATGAATAGAAATCAGAATTTCTAAAAGTGTCAGAATCAATCTGACACTTGGAAGAAAAATTCACTTCATGGCGATCGTTTAAGTGCTCATGTGGAATAAGTGGTGTGCAGTTGGCGTTTCTGTATTTAAAGTAGCGACCCGTTAGCGTCGTTGTAGCGCGTTAATTCGTCCCGGTGATTATGGATCCATTAGCGTGGCAGTCAACAAATAGCACGGTACAATCCAATAACCGTCGTGGCCCATAATAAAAGGGGAGGAACCAGGTTTAGGCATCAGTCGGGGGTAGTTTAGTCGGTGGCGCATAGTCGCGTGTATACACACATCCCCGTAACATTCGTGTGTACGGAGAGCGTCACAGGCACAGACACGCGCGTGTCCACGGGATCCGCAAGGGTGGCTTGACACCCTCCCCTCATGCAGGTCGCAGCAGATAGTGATCATTGCGTTCATTGTCGCATCATTGTAATATCCTCCCGTTATAGTAGGAGGGTTAGGGCGGACGGAGAAACGCTCGCGGGAGTTCTGGGTTCCCTGCCGATGTCTGCGTGAAAGTACCGAACGGGGTGGACGATGAGAGAGAGGGTGGGATAAAAGCCTTCAGCGTCATTTCTAAAGACCGACATCAACGATGTCTCGATCATCTACCTACTTCCGTGAAGCCGTTAACGTAGTGTGGCAAAGGATGCTCAGATTTGCGACCGATACTTCTAGTAGTTTAGTATTAAACTGTAACAGTATTTTTCAGAAATATGTAAACAAACGTCAGTGCTATCAATATTTTTGTTCAATCTAAAACATTAATTCTAATGAAAATAAGATCGAACTGAATTTAATTTCAACAAACTCCACAAAATTTAGATTACTATTGTATATACAGAATGTTTCGTAAATTAATTTCTACAGTTATTATATAAAATATCCTGTATTATACACCTTCTCTCTCTCACAATCATATAATTGCAGAAAACATTATGTTAGGGATAATTATTCGGTATGAGTAATCTATCTTATTTGATTTGAAGATAGATCTTTACACTGGTTTAAATTCATTGTGCAGTTTTCCGAAAGACTCAAAGGACCGCGCGCTGTATTGGAGCTTGAATTCACTCAACATTCGGGATGAATATCGGCTTCGGGCGGTACAGTGAACTCGATGGTATGGCGAGCTATTAAATGACGAATCATATTCATGCACGAGCATGCTCGGTATCTTCTACGCCAGTAAAATCGGAAGTTTTAAGCAAACAAGTTGGCCAATTTTATTCATATTCCGACCTGTGACATCAAAATATAAAAAAAATTTCAGTATATATATATATATATATATATATCTGCCATTTTGTTAGATAAAAGTTTTCTCGACCCGTGTTAATTTGAATCAAATCGTCGCCTCTATTTATTTCAGTGGACATTTTCGTCATTTGTCTTCAATATATGCACTCTGTATTTCTCGCGATAGCAAACAATTAAAAAAATATTTTTAACTCTCAAGAGTTAATACTAAAGTCTGTAACTATGAAGCTGGGTAAGACTCCTATTATTAAATTTATTAACGACGTATTTGTTTTGTTAATAACGTTGAATTAATAAAATTATTTTTAATTAAAATAATGTTGTTGATGCGCCATTTTTTTTCAGTGTAAGTAGATCATATAGAGTCCAGTGATCTTATACATACATCCGGGGTGTTTTCTCCAATTGCATATATTAGAAAATATATTGAAATTGTTTTTCATTGTTTTTCTCTATGTATAGAAATACATAGAGAAAAACAATGAAAAACAATTTTAATAAAATATTTCTCATTGACGAGGAGAAACTCGTCCATTTAACTAGCCCATTGCACAAATGAAAGCTCGCCGTGGATTCTGCGAGATTCGTTTGAAAGCAAGATATGGTGCTAGGACGATCAAGGGAGTTCGGTCAACATTTGAGCACGGTAAACAGCACCCACTTGTCAATACCCTTCCCTCATCTGTCTCTGTCTCTCTCTCTCTCCCCCTTCCCCTCCCCCCTCTCTTTCTTTCTCTCTCTCTCTCTCCCACTCTCTGTCGATCAACTTTCGAATTGCGTATAGGTACTTCAAACTATCTCTCCAACATACGTTGATCTTAGCTAGGGTCATCTTAGAGACCGTTGTCGCGTCGCGCCCTGGGAAATACCCTCTTGGCCCAAAGAGCATCACTCAACACAAAGCATATTATATGCGCCACAAACGTGTTACGCGTGAGCATAAGGTTCGTTAGCGCGTGACGTACGATGGTCTTTACTATCGCTATCATGAATC